AGTTTTACTGTATCTCTGATAATAACGGAGAAAAAAAAAATAGAAATGCAAAAAATTCACTTTTTTCGATATAACTCAAAAACTAAAAATAATTTTCAAAATTTCCGAAGGCTCTTGATATGAGCCTCCGATTGCGCAACTTTTTCCCTATTTAAGCGACTTCGTATCTTCTACCATTTCCGAGATCCCCATCCCAGTCAACACACGGACATTCGATGGACATCCATTGGACGTCCATTTAGGATATTTGGGATATCCAGAGAATATCCAGTGATATCCGATGTATATCTTATGGACGTCCAATGGACGTGCCGAGTGGAAGGAGTTGGACTTCTATAGGATATCCTTCAGGGACATCCATAAGACATTTTTCAGGGATATCCATAAGATATTGTTCACAAATATCCATAAGACATTTTTCAGGGATATCCATAAGATATTGTTCACAAATATCCATGAGATATTTTTCAGGGATATTTACTAAATATCCTTAACAATATAGAACACCATGTATATAATTCCATAATGAATTAGGAACTATTATAACGAATTCAACGGTACCGGATTGGATAGGGTTATTTCAAACGATTACGAAGATATTTGCATTCGAAATTTTCTTATGCTCATTGAGGATATGGAAATGTGAATATCTTCCTAATCGTTTGTAGAAATCCTATCAAACACAGTATCGTTGAATTCGTTATGATAATCCTTAACCGATTATGGAATAAAATACAGGGTGTCCCGTTTGAAAATGCGGTTAAACCAAAAGTGCGGTAAAGCAAGTAGATATGTCGACTAATATAAAATGAACTATAATTCATGACCCCAATTGACGTTTTACTACCTACAATAATGAAAAAGTTATAGGAGTGAACCACCTTAAAAAATCACCAGGTAGGAGTATGTAAAAAAATAAAATTTATTCAATTTGTTGCAAACCGAATAACAAATGTTATAATGTGAATATAAATCAAACTAAATAAAATTTTTTATATATAAAAAAACAAGTATACATTCAACAAAGTATAAAATAATAAATATTCTAATTGAATTTGCAAATAACAAAAAATAAAACAGGTCACTATAAGAGAATTAAACAAAGGAAATAAAGGAATACTGTTATGATGTGAATATAAAACTAACTAAATTGAAATATGAATATATAAAAAAGAAGTAAACATGCAAAAAAGTATAAAATAATAAATATTCTTATTGAATTTGCAAATAACTACAAATTAAAACGGGTTACTAAGAAAAATAAATACTTTAAGGAAATAAAAGAATACTATTTGCTTCAGATTCTTGGGGTGTGCTCATACCTCATGAAAGAATTCAATTTACCATGACTTTCGACATGGATGCATTTTTAGACCAATCAGAACGATTCTAGCCATGGAGGTTAATTCGAATTGAATTCAATCTTTTGAGAGATAAATAGAGGAGGCGAGGTGGCCGTAATTGAATCGCGTTATCCCTAGCGCAACAATGAAGCTATTTTCCGAAATGCTGTTAAGGTGAATTCAAGAATTAGATTCTCTTAGATTTTTCCATCTTTCTTTTGGAAAATTTGTCATTCACGCGAATGCCATATTGATTTATATTTTATTGCTTCAGAATATTTTATTACTATCTATTGGGAAAATACCCACCCATCTCAATCCCAAGGAAAAAAATGGAGATACAGATTATTTCTGAAAAATCATATTTTTGTGCGAAAATGTTGAAGAACAAAAGTTATTTTGACATAAATATGATTTTATGTTTTCTTTGGATATCTTATGGCTATCCATAAGATATCTTCTGATGGATATCCGCTATAAATCCATGGATGAATATCTCATGGATGTCCATCTGAAGACCACAAAAAAGAAAATATATGAGAGCTATTTTCGAGTGATTGTATATTTTTGTACGAAAACATTGAACAACAGAGAAAAATTCCAAACTGTGGTGTTGTTATTTATATGAATTCATATTTGCATCGGATATCTTAATTGTGGCTATAAACATATTATACCTATATAACAATAGTTATATGATGGAAAACTACCTTTGAATTTCTAATGAACATGTGATTTGCATGTGATATTTGTGAAGATTCGTATTGTTTTGAACCATTCTCAATTAACAATTTTTTTTCGCTAAACGAACATCTTATGGACGTCCATAGGTGATCCGCATCAGAATATCCATTTGATATCCTCTGACGGATATCCTATGGATATCCATTTCATGTCCCAGGATATCCCGACCTGAAATGGACTTGAGAAGGATATCCATAGGATATCCTGTGTTATCTGGGATGCTGTTCAACCTTATAATAATAATAATAATAATAATAATAATAATAATAAATGGACTTTATTCATCGATAATTAATAATTTATAAGAACAAGAGATCTACAAATTATAATGATGCTCGATGAAAAGGCGAAGTTCAGCTTGCGCTGTTTTACAACTTAACCATGTAAGGTAATATAAACATATTAATATATGAGTGAATATAATTAAATATACACATACAAGTACATATACGACGATAAAATATTCACATATTCAATACGAATACAAAAAGGAAGCTCACAAACAAAGAAAAAACAACAAAAAAAAAAATCAGACAAGGCGTTGTTATCATCCAAAATCTATCCTGCTTTGAGGTATTCTTTCAACCTTTTCTTGAAATTCAGTAATGAGTCGTTTTTGAAGTGATTAGGAAGAGAGTTATACTGCTTGATCGAGTTATACATGAAGCTACGTGTGAAACAAACTGATGAATGCTTTGGAATAATGAAGGTGTCACGGTTACGTGTACTCGATTTACCTTGAGATTTAAAGGTGGTATATCTCTTGTGGATATAATCTGGCGTTTTCATTGTAACAAATTTGTGGGTATTCACGAGGAGGTGTTGCTGCCAAATTTTATCAAGTCTCAACCAACCGGATTCCTCAAATTTAGCAGATATGTGTTCAAACTTACGAATTCCGTATGAAAGACGGATACAATTATTTTGAATTTTTTGTAGACGTTTCACGTCCATTTGTACTATAGCGGAGCCATAAATAATATCACAATATGATAGTCTTGAAAGTATCAGTGTATCACAGAGTTTCAGTTTGAGTTTTGAGGACATGATATCTCTACTCTGATATAGTTGGCGAAGAATATTGTATGAACTCTGACAGAGTGAATTAATATGTTTGTGGAATCTGAGATCAGAATCAAGCCACAAACCCAAATTTTTACTCTCTTTGACAATAGGAATTTCAACTCGATTGAGCTTGATACGAAATAATTCTTCAATTTCCAACCGTTTATGTTTGGGACCAAAGAGGATTGACTGGGACTTCTTTGGATTCAACTTTAAATTATGGGCTGTTGAAATATTCAAGAGGTTCTGTAGATCTTCATTGACAATGTTTACTGCAACATCCCAGTTATGGTACGAAAATGAATAATACAGCTGAGTATCGTCTGCATAATGATGCATAGTACAATGGTTGATAATCTGGTGGAAATCGCATATATATAACGAAAACAAAAGAGGTCCAAGTATAGATCTTGGACAGACTGTATAGTGTGGTGGAAATGTATGAAATAAACTCATTATCTCTAACGCATAGAAATTTGAAGAAAAATCCTGAGACAGGTCGATTTTTATTTTCGAATTGACACCTCTTGATATACATACGGAGTTTGTAACGTAACGGAATTATTAACATCTCAGTTAAGTATTTTTGTTTTGATCAGGAAAGCCTTCAAGATTCAAATACTTGCTTGATATGTATTTCATTCGTTATTCTCGGGCTGGATAACTTGTTTTTGAATAATCACGGCAAGCAATAGTTTTTTTTGTCGATATTGTTTAGCTTCATTAGATTATCAGGTCAAACACCGTGTAGTATGGAGAGGAATAAATAATCGCTATTACTATTGTTGATATGCTCACTAACCTAACATTTTCCACTTCTTCTTCCTATAGCTGGCACTGGCGCGGTATTTGCCATTAGAGCACCTGGTCCATACACAATTATGTCACTCTGTGGTTGTATTTATATTGAAACTACAACATCCTTGAATATTGAATAAACCTGCTATTAATGCAGGTAGAATATTCTCACCACACGGATTATTTGTCAATATTTGTTGCAATGCATATACATATGGTACGGCATTGGTGGGTACTTCACATATTTATTTGAGTTAAGTTTTTCGGTTGCACAAAAAATAGCATGTTTCATTCGGATCAAAAGTGACTATGTGCGACTCGCAAATTTTGCTTTCGCTCGGCTTCGCTAAACGCTCCGCCTCGCAAATGCAAAATTCGCTTGTCAATCAAAGTGTCACTTTTGATCCTTATAAAACAATCTATACTATTTTCTCCAAGCGGCAAGGATTGTGGCTTTTTCCTGCCGCTTAATAGGCAGAAAAGGTGTACTTTTACTGCCTAGGCAGAAAAAGTTTGTTGCTATGCAACGTTCCAAGGAAGTCTAATGAAATTAGTAATCAAAATTGACACTGACATTGATTGAACACGAAATGATGGCGTTTTCAATAAAAAAATCACACAAAATTGGTTTTATAACATTTGGAGAAAAAATTCTATGTTTCACACGGCAGCCGCGGCGGTCAATCTGCTACTTTTCTGCCTAGTAAAACGAATAACTATTTCGTGCTCCTCCATACTTGTTTATGATCATGACGACTATTATGATTAGCAAGTTTTTGCATTATTTGTGTTAAGTTATTGACCACAATAATCATGTTTATAAACTATTTTAGCATATGATAATGTTGTTGGTCATCTTCAAATTAATTTATACAAAAATAACTATTATCCATCTACTTAGTTGGTGAATCTCATTGATCAGTAGTGTTTATTCATTAAATATTGGACATGTCACGACTCTATATTATCAAGGAAGAGCGAAATATAGTATAGATAATGATAATAAGGTTATAGATAACAATAGTCATGAGCTATGCATATGTATTTTGTATGTAATGTATAGTAGTACCATAGATCAAGTTTGTTAATCTGTGGTAGTACTACCCGAAGCCTGGAAGGGTTCACCTATAGCTACAGCTAGATATTCAATTCATATTCCTTATATCAGATAATCTCTTTTTGAATCCATGTAGTTGGCGCAACTCGTTAGTCAGTTATCATTCATTCATTATTATTGGTCATGTTATATCATCAAGAAAGAGCGAGAGATTGTAGATAAGGTCATATATAACAATAATAATTGTAAAAGTCATGACCTATGCATATGTATAATATTCATAGGCAACTATAGTGCCTATTCATAAAAGTTAAAGTTCGGTTTCTCATCGAAATGATAGTGTTCATTTTGTTATCAGTCATTTTGATAGTTCTGACGAGACTGTTTTCCAGAACAGTATCCAAGCAATGTGATAGTCAAGTTTGCTTAGTTGGTAAAACAGCTTTAGTTACTGGAGGCAGTGCTGGTGAGTCAAATTTTAAGTTCGAAGCAGAATATTTCTCATAAATCGTGTGTTGCTAATGGATCGTTTCATTAGACCAAATGATCTAACACAGTGGTTCTCAAACTCATGTTGCCCATCGCTCACTTTGAGAAAATAGTAATTTACGTTACAAGTCCGGAAAATACTGTTTCTTTGGACGAGAAGATAAAATTCTAGGCCGAGCCGTAGGCGAGTCCTGGAAGTCTGTGAGTCCAAAAAAATTGTTTTTGGATGAGTTGCGAACATTATTTTTGTTTTTAGACAATGTAAAATAACAAATCAATGAGACACATTTCCATATTATGTTTCTTTGTAGAATACGATTTCTTTTTTATCAATTCACATTTGTATTGAATAGTGAAATTTGAACAGAATACCTTTACCTACTAACTGTTACATTGGAAATTTCGTACGGAAATTTTCAAATTCACTATCGCAGCTGCTTCCGATAGTTTATTGCGATAATTGCAACCAAACTTTCAGAAATGGAAATGTCAACTAATTTCATGTCGAATAGCTGCCAGTCACTCCAGTCAGCTGCTATGGTGATTATCATCTGCATTCATCAAAACCATATTGTAACATGTGATTTTCCTTTTTAACCTTTATTATATGGGTTTGTTATTAAGTTAACCAAGAGTAACACCCAGTATATTATGATGATGTAAGATACTCAATAGATTATGTGACTGCAACACTTTACATTTTGTTATGGCAGGTGGAATGAATATCCTGTTGGCGTTGGACCTCTTGTAAGCTGAACTTGAAGATTCCTTTGTCTTCCTGGTGTGACTGTCTATTAGTTTCAGGGTTGTATTTTTCAGGTGTCCATAGCAGTGGTGTTGATCTGTCCTTCTTCCTAGCTGTAATGATAAACGATTTACATTTCTAGTTGCTGTTGACTGATTGAATGGATAGAAGTTGAAATGCACAGTTTGACAAACCTGTTGGAAATTAATATGTCCTTGCTGTTTTCAATTTAATTATGGATCCACAGGAAGTTATATTTGGAGTAGTTGTAATTGTTTATATTCATATTTCAGTTTCAGTCTGACAGTTCAATTGGTTATGTGGATTGTTAGGTTATTTCGCTTCGTCCATAGGTCGCGTGCAAGAACTGTCAGATGACTGACCCTGGAGGCAAAACATATTTGTTTACAAATGATCGAAATAGTTTTCCACAATTATTTTGGCATATGAATCGTATTTTTGCGCTATTCATCAATTCGCTAATGCCATCACATTGTGCTATTGTAAAATGCACAAAAACTGCAGCGGAAGATGAAGAAATCCGGATAGTACATTATGATTCAAAAGTAAGTACCTACTATAGTCACTCACATATAGTTTTCATTTTTGGAATTTGGTTATTTCTCTGATTTCTCATCGGAATTGCTTCTGCAATAAGAGCTAATAGAAATATACCTGAAATTTCTAGAATAATGCAAGAAGATTGGATTCATGCAATCAATCGGTAGAACTGGTCTGACATGCTGACGATCGTGTGTGTTGTAGACATTTTCAATCTATTAGCAGCATTAGCTTGTATTGCAGAAGTGGCAGAAGGCAGAAGGAATTTTAATAAGGAATGACAACATTTCATAATGCTAACTATGTGAGATAACTATTTACCTGAAAAATCATATTCCCTAGTCTCTTGCTGCATTTTTTGTGCATTGTACAACAGTACAATGCGAAGGCATGCTTGAATTAATGAATAACGCAAGAAACACGATTCGTATGCCAAAATATTGTGAAAAACTATTTCAACCTTTCGATTCCTCTGTAACCAAATAAAAAAGTGAGGTTGTGTTTCAATAATTCACAGAAGAATGAGGTTGTGTTTCAATATTTTGCCTCCATGGTCGGTCATCGTGCACGCGACCTATAGCCTCTGTGAATTTATAACCTTCTTTTTTTATTTTCGGCCTGCTGGCAACATTTTTGGTTAGACCAATGTTACTATAGTTCTGTGTCAGACCTAACTTCACAATTCTTTAAAAACGGGCAAAGGCCCATTAGGACATTTTCCTTAAATAATCTAGGTATTTCAATATTCTCTGTTGGTAATATTTATCAACTAGTCAAGATTCCAGATTCCAACTGTACTTGCGCAGTGAATTATTTCTAATTCGAAACATGTTTTTATAAACGGTTTTGTTTTCTGAGTGCACAGGAAACTCTTGAAATTTCTTGATTTCCTTCTTCTCTACCGAGAGTAGGCAAGATGAGCACGAATTTTGCCATTTTCCATCCAACCTTTGTGGGGTTTGATACCCTTATTTTCGGCCATTCCAGACGGAAGGTGAGCATTTTTAGAGTCCATAAACATATTCAATGTTTTCGATTTGGTATATTTCCAACAGATTTATTGGCCTGTTCATGGTGGATGTCCTGGTGGGACGCCATCATCATAGCGTGCTAGCCTGTAGCTAGTATAGCCTCTTGTTGATTTCGGAACTTTCCTCTCGATCCCATCCTGAGCCATCCATGATGCCACAAGGTGACTAGAAAGTCTCAACTTCATTTTTGGGGCTATTCTCTTGATCCCACCTTGTTGTGCCGTCCATGATGTCGAAGGGTGACTAGGAAGTCCAGGAAACCTTTTTTTTTACTGCACCGGCTAGAGTTTGGAGTTGGAGTTCACTGGCAGTGAAGGACAGAGCAGCACCACATGCTCCGCAGACACTAAGGTCAGATCAATTTCGATTATACTTTTGTTCCTGATGATCCAGTAGTGCGCAGCACCAAATTGAACCACTATTCAAGTCTTACTACTCGTAACAACAGTTTTCAATTTTATATTTGAAATACCACTTAACTAAATCATAATGGGAGTCCAGTCATTCTGTGAACCAGAAATATAGGCCTATATAGAAGGGGAATATCTTGAGATACCTAAATTTTTTTGTTCTGCTTAAGCATTTAACTTATACAACACTGAGGAAGTGATTTAATCATTTTTCTGCACAGTAAGGTGTTACTGAAGGTATAATTGAAATTGTGTGTCACATGAACCTGCTTCAAACATCTAAAGAATTATATTTCTCTGGTACAGTTATTTGGTGTTTCATTAGATTTTCAAATTCTATTGTCAATATTAAATTTTCTTAGTTTTCCTACTACTGAAAACTGAGTGGCGCCTGGCAAAAGGTCCCTAAAAATACATAACTTCTTGAATCCACAGCCTGCTCCCAAACAACAGAGCTGCCGTGCCTATAACATACCTACACACTAGGGTCCCTTGATGGAAATTGACGTTAAAGTCATCTTAACAGGGTACGGACAGATCATAGCTGCATTCTTTTTTAATGATCTAGAGATTTTGGTTTTGTCTACTGGCATCCCTGACATTGATGTCACGTCACATCCATGGGCGCTACAGAAAATCATTCAAAATTTTAATAATAGGTATGTACAGGGTATTTACTTGTTGAGGAAGATCGTATAGCGAACGAGTTTTGTAATTATGGTCTGATTCTATTAAAGATTGGTATCTGGGGGTTTTTCGGTATCGAAGTTCATGAATCCTTCATCAAAATTAGGAAATTAAAGATGGTGGATTCAATATGGCTGACGAGTTTTGTGATTATGATCCGATTCTAATCAAAATTGAAAGATATCTGGGGTTTTCCGGGGTTGTAGATAATGATTGTTTCGTCAAACTTGGAAAATTCAAGATGACGGAACCGATATGGCGAAAGACATTAGTTTATATAATTATTACTCTACCACAAATAGAAAATATAAAGGGTGCAAGAGTGAAAATAACGTGCCCATAAGTTATACTGCGTACACCTACTTGTTTGTTATTTTCATCAATAAATTATTTGAAAATGACTTTATTTAAGGGAGACGGAAGAATAATATATGTATAACATGGAGGTAAAGTATATTCTTTTCTTTATTTTAATGCACATTTTACGTATTACTTTTCATCAGCCTATATATAGGCTGACTTTCCGTCCTAGACGAAGTTTTATACATAGTGTGATATTAGTTACGCCATGAATTCTTCTTCGAGTTGTATTTTCGAGAATTTATTTAGCACACATTACATGAGTCGAGGTTTTCACCATTTCTCAATCATAAGGCTCAGCTCATTCAGCTCATAGAAAAACTACTGCTCAGCTTGAAATCAGAATTCATTCAGTCGATTCAGTCAACCCTGGTATACAGTCTAAGAACAGTCTCTTTTGGTGGAATATACTAAGCTTTCAGTATAATTCATATGTTCCCTACCTCGCAAAGATTATGCTGGAGTAGTAAACTCTAAAACTAGAGGATTGTTCATCTATATTTTGGTATAGTCAGAGTATAGTTTCATCAGGAATTCCATGGAACTTACGTATGATACGCCAGTGACCTCAATATAACCTAAAAAACAACAAATGTCAAAAATCTAGTGTTTATCCCCAGAATTGAATAAGGATGGAACTATATAACTGTTTCACAAACACTTTAGAGTGAGAGGAGACGACGATCTGTCCGTACCCTGTTGAGATGACTTTAACGTCAATTTCCATCAAGGGACCCTACTACACACTAGTCTTGCAATTTACTATTTATTATACAACATCCATAAAATAGCAAGAAAGCGTTATAATATCTACCAAGATTTTCATAGTTACAGTAACAACAACGATTTGGTACTTGCATTTTGTAAAACTTGTGATCTGTGTGATGTAATATTCTCAGCTAGAATACTCTGTATTATTATTCATGTTGTCAAGTTGCTAAAAGTCGATTAAATCCTGCAAGAAATGGAGACATTTTCTAATTGGCCGACATTTTCGACTCATAACAGATCAAAGATCAGTTGCATTCATGTTCGACAACACTAATTCTAGCGAAATTAAAAACAAGATTATGCGGTGGCGTCTCGAATTGTCGAATTGTCTCGTTACGACATCGTCTACCGACCAGGAAATCAAAACATAGTTGCAGATACATTCTCGAGAATTAGTTGTTCCACCTCGGCACCAGGAAATAGCAAAACTCTTCTGTGTCATCCTGGTATCACTCGTTTTCATCATTGGGTACGTTCTAAGAATCTGCTATATTCATCTGAAGATATTGGAAAATAACAACATCTTGTCCCATTTGTGTGGAATTGAAACCACGATTCTACAAGAATCAAGGTGTCCTCATGAAAGCAACATCAAATTTGGACAGACTCCATCTTGATTTCAAAGGACTTTCACCAACTTCATCGGATGATAAATATATTCTAACTGTAATTGATGAATATTCGAGGTTTCCGTTTGCATTTCCATGTCCTGACATGACCTCAGTAACAGTGATGAAATGTCAACGAGATATATTTGCGATATTTGGAATGCCATCCTAATATGTACACTCTGATCGAGGGGCTTCATTGATATCGAAAGAGCTGGAAGGTTTCTTGGAATCACATGGTGTAGCAACTAGTCGTACTATTGCCTATAATCCGCAGGGTGAAGGACATTGTGAGAGGTTCAATGGAATCATTTGGTAAACTATTGAGCTAGCATTGAGAGCTCATAATTTGAAAATTCATCAGTAAGAATCAGTTTTAAATGATGCTTTCTATTCTATAAGATTGCACTGCTACTAACTGTACCCCACATGAACGAATGTTCAGTCATTCCCGTAGATCTCCCAATGGCACCTCAATTCCATTGTGGCTAACCATTCCTGGCCCTGTACTACTCAAGAAACATGTGAGAGCTAACAGATATGAACCATTCGTGAAAGAAGTTGAATTGATTGAAGCGAATCCCGATTATGCATAATTATTATGTCCGTTATCCCAATGAGAACGAGACAATAACAGTTGTCACTTTACCTATTAATTCGAAAACTGTTGATGAAGGAAGTTTCACACATATGAATAATGATTCACTATTCATTGTATGTACACAGAGAGACAGATAAGGATAACATAGGATCAAGTGAACTGGTGAAAGAAGTTGAGAATATAGATCAGAGTCGGTTTGGAAATGAAAATAATCTCATGTCTACACAAGAAGGATATCATGTAGAAACTAACGACTCCATGCCATCAGGAAATAAAAATGATCCTGTATGTACACAAAAAGGGCAACATGTAGCACCTACAGACTCCGGGCCATTGAATCGTCCAATTCCAAACAAGAAACCGCCGAGGTATTTGAAGGAATTCGTCAGGTCCTAGAGGGGAAAAATGATGTAATGTTCTCAGCTAGAATACTCTGTATTATTGTTTATGTTACTATCATTGTCAAGTTGATAAAAGTCGATTGAAGCCTTATCATTCTCGGAAGGTTTTCCTTACACTGTGTTTATCTGATTGCAATAAATCAGGGCCATAAATAACATCTGCAGAGTTAGCATGCGACAATACGAGAGCATCGCATGAAACCTTCTTAGATTTTACATGCAGCACATCTTTATTAGAGTATGAAAATTAATTTCAGGTTACAATAACCGCATCTGAGAATATGCGACGTGTGGAGTGAAAATCATGAGCAGACCAATTTTCTTTGTTTTTTTTATCAATTTACTCTACTTCTCAATCCCTTATGTGTAAATGAATCCTCATATAGCCATTATCAAAGTGTAATCTAAAACAAGGTGAAACATTGCTCCTACGCTGATTGGAATATAACAAATAATTATTAGTTATGCTAACTATAATATGTTTGCGTTCGTCATGACAAATGTTTCCAGATAGTGCCTAGATTCACGATTATCTATTTGTTGCTTAACACATAATATATAATGATGTATGGATATCTAAGATAAGCATGTTCTCTTTAATTGACACACTTTGTACTAACATCGAGGACTTCCTGGTTAACTCCATTTCTTTATCTGAGAATATTCCTTTTCAATAATGCACATCTTTTTGTCAGATAGGTTTCCCAAAATAACATTGAACAAATTGATTATTTTGAAACCTCGAATCTCAATACTGATATACTCTGAAGGATTTTCTTGAATTGATTGTTAGCGGACTCAAGATATTATACTGTTTCGGCTCTCCAAGTATCATCAACAAAGCAGTATTAACTTTTGAAGAGTGGTGTTTCATCAACGGATTCTCTATCTCCGAGACAAAATCCAATGTTATGATATTTTCCAGGCACAACGTAAACCTTCAGAACTCAGCAGCCTAGATTTACCTGTGGAAAAAGATGTTAAATACTTAGGAATAACCTTGGATAAAAAATTATCATGGAAACTCCTCATCGAGAATATTATCAGTAGATGTTATGCAGAACTAAATTTCTTCAAATCATGTCTGAGAGTCTGGTGGGGAGCGGATCAGGAATCCTCGCTAATCTTCTACAGATCGTTTATCAGATCAATAAGACTACGGGTGCATCTTCTACGGCTCAGCCAACAAAAATCTATTACACCGATCGAACGTAGTTCAGAACACATTCCTACGAATATGCCTCGAAGCTATGAAATCCACTCCCGTGGAAGCACTAAAAGCTGAAGCCTTGGAACCGCCGCTTCATCTACGAAGAGAACTTCTCGCCAATAAATGCACTACGAAATTATTTATGAAACACTCAAAGCTACTGACCAATATAAATATCTTGAATGGATATGACCTAACCATATCGTATTGGAGACACAAAAATACTCCACTCTTATGTCTTTCAGTCTTTCAGAGAAAATACAATCTTTAATGAAAACATCAAAGTAGGATACCCAAGCATACCAGAACATAACTCCTTTGACTTATCTAGCCATCCATCTGTAATTATTCCAAACTACAGCATGTCACCTCTGATCAACCAAAAACTACTCATTCAATATTTTTCGAACTTCCCTAGAACAACTAGAATTTTTACTGATGCATCCAAATCAACTGCTGGTATAGGCTGTGCCTTCCTTATTCCCGATGGAATGAGGCAAATGTTTGAACTACCTACAACTATGTCAATATTTTCTGCTGAAGCCTTTGCTATATACCAAGCACTTTCACATATAAGGGACAATAACATTTCAACAGCCACTATTTTATCCGACTTCTTATCAGTATTGAACTGTACTGAATCCAGTTATAACCCAAACACCCTTCTGAATCCTTACATAATCAGAATCAAACACATGCTATTTGAAAACCGCACAAATGGCGTGAAAATATACGTTCAATCTATACAAGCACGAAATGACGAAGAAATGATCAGCATAATGAAACGAGTACTGATTCACAAACCCAACCAGATACACTCTCATTCATCCGGAACTCCCAAAATCCTGTTGGTATGAGTAGTTTAACATTATCAGAAATTATATTACAATTATCAGTCGATTGAAATTCGGACATGGATGTTTCCCTTCACATCTATTCAAAATAAACATACTACCTTCTAATCTCTGCACAGAATGCAATGTTGAGGGACATTTAGACCACTTATTTTTCGAATGTACAAAAAATCGCCCATTCTCGAATAAATTATACAACAAACTATTGAAACTGAATGTGCCATCCCCGTATAATTTACTCTTTCTATTAACACTGCAAAGTAGACAAATTCTGGAACTGATAATTGAATTCATCAAAGAATCTGGATTGAAATATAAAGCTTGAGAAACAGAAAGTAATAATAATAGTACATCCAATAACTATCTATAGATACCATATAACGTCTACCTCTGTTTTTAACCTTAATTGTTTCACCCATGTTTTAGTGGCCCTGTTTGTTTGTTTTATCGAAAATGCCTTGACAGTTCCCTAGGCGAGAAGCGAGTGTCCCATGTATTTCCCTTCCACAAACCTTAAATAAACATGATGAAACCTATAATGATACAATATTGAGTCTGGCTGATGGGACCATGTCCACAAAGCCATCGAAAAAAAAAATAAGAAAACAAAAAAGTATCATCACTAACACTAAGCCAGCTGTCGCAATCGATTCACGAAAGAAACTTCGATATATGCTACAAACCAAAGCTTAAATATGGATGGAGGACGGTATATCCTTCAGAGCCACCTAGTGGCAAGCAGACAAATCGGTCGAGCATTCTCGAGTGTTGAGTAGTTGATATGTACCTTGAATTTTTTCAGGATTAGGATATCAAATCGTCCTCGATCTATGTAAGAGAGGATGCAGGGTGATAATAGCCGATAAGAATGTGAATGGAGATATCAAAGAAGCCATCATACAAGAAACTAATAATGACAACATCACGATGGAACACGTGGATCTGGCATCATTTAAATCCGTAAGACAACTGGCAGAGAGAATCAATCGAACGGAAGAGAAGCTGGATGTACTGATCAACAATGCCGGTGTTCTATTCAGCTCCAATGATCTCACAGAAGATGGTTTGAATCTAACGTGGCAGATAAACCATTTTGGTCCTTTTTTACTGACGCATCTTCTCATAGGTAAAACAATTACTCATTATCTTTCTACATCTCAGATTTCTCCTGTCAATCTTTGGCATCTGTTTCATAAGCTATTCACCAAGCCATTGTTCTCAATTATTCTGGATACCAAAGTTGATTAAATATTTATGTTCTGCCTCAAAGTACTCAATTATTCTTGTCTGAACATGTTGGAGTCAATGCACTCTCTCAAGAGGCTAGTCCATACCATTTGAAGGTTTATGAATTCAAAGTAATTTATTTGCTATTCCATCCCTAGAATTTTTTCGTATTCCTGTCAAGATCCACCTTTACTGTCAAGTTTGTTTGGAAATATTTGTCAAGTTGAATAGTGTTCGAATGTTTATTCAATAGATAAAATGTATAGTATTTTACCAACTAATTTGCAATGCTCGGTAGAAATGGAAAAAAAATCAAGATGAGCTGACTCACTAGTATATTTCATGAATTACCAGCGATTCTCCGAATTCGATATCATATTCATAACGAATTATGTTACGGGTCAAAGAACGGTTTTGTCTCAATGAACATAAAGTTATAGTTACTTGGGAAGTTTCGAACTTGAGATGACTGTGTGATATAACTGGTTAGGAATAAGATAGATAATGTTGAAATTATTCAGCTACCTATGATAGTTTCTTACATGTATGAGGAATCTTAAATTATCGGAAGTAATAGAGTGCCTATAGTCCCAAAAACTTATTGAGCAACATTTGATTCATCGATAAGAGAGTAACATATTATTAGAATCTTAAATCTCTGATTCGACTTGTTCGCCATCAATATTCTCCATATCACTATCAACATTTATTTTATGGATATCTGACTCATGATTCATTGTATCTTTTGATAATAAAAATAAAAATAATAATAACATTTATTAATCTCAAACGATAATGAATGATAATTTCTATAACCATGTATCTTCCACGGCGTACGCCACCTTCTATATTGAGATATTTCAATGAACGGCAAAATCAATCATTTAACTTTCTCCTAACTAGTTTTTTTATAATTCTCATTATTTTTAGAGATATCTAACAAAATTCCGCAACCAATCATATGATCTGGGTGCTGGTCGATTCCAAATGCCATTCTTTTTCCAGGCGAAAACTTTTTTCGAAAAAACATGAATATTGTGGTCAATAACTGATCACAAATGAGGTAGAAACTTGTAAAACCTGATAATCCTGACACATCATGAACAAGTATAGAGAAGCACCATTAATTATGTTAGATATCTCGGAAACCAAGAAAAATTATAAAAAAATGCCAAAATACCTCCCTGTATATTGATTTGATTGATGACATGTTTCACATGCATATTTACGATAGTAAATTGCCATACGAATTTTGAAGCAGTACCTTCGAAGGATTTTGAAATATTCAAGGAAATTTGGAAATATAGTACGTTGTTCTGGGACACCTTGTATGACTCTTTTCCCTACAACTGGCAATGTGTGATGTTGAATTGATTGTTTCTGTTTTGTTTTCGGTGCCATGTTCAATATAGAATGAAATGATCCTTCAATATAGGTATTACAGATGATACTGAACATTATCATATTGTATGCGACTTGCCCCTTCCTGAGACTCTTTCTGCGGACGCCCCTGTTACTACACTCTTCAAAACTACACTTTTCTTCCATTTTCTAGCGCATATTCGACTAATCACATGTATTAGACGATAATTAGGTCATGAATTTGTCCCTTTCTCTTCAGGATTATCTTCTGTTGGTAACCATTTCTTTTTTTTTCAGATCTGTTGAAGAAATCACAGTCAGGACGAATCATTTTCACCAGTTCTGAAATGGCATTCTTCAATAACCTGGAAAGGTTTGATCCAGGAAAAACAGACTTCATGAATGAAACAAAAAACGTATTCCATTATAGCAATACCAAATGCCTAAACATAGTAGCATCTGATATATTTGCTGAAAAACTTGAGAAACATAATATCTCCTCCAATTCTTGTCATCCAGGCGTAGTGAGAACGAGTATTTTCCAGAGTAGTTCGGTTCATTGTCGGAATTGGGCGGACTATCTATCGTTGGGGGCTTTAAACTTCTTACAAATATTTGCTGGAACGGTACGTATTTACTTAGAAATGGAGAGAAGATACTGGAAAGTTGTCAATCTAACTTTTTTCTTGCTAGATACTCTGAAAGTTAAAACATCCTATATATTTTTCGAGAAAATTGGGGATCTTTCTTTTCTGATTCCAAAAATATAATGGTTGTTGATATTCGGTTCAGCCGTTTTCAGAATATTTTTTAGTTACAATACCAAGTCGCAGTTTCAATGAAGAATCAACAACACATGCGTACAGAAAATATGAAAGGTTTGATTAATGACAACCTGCCTATGTGCTGTTATTGATGAAATAAACTTCTGGTGTACGCACTAATCCTGTTCTACAATTCCTCGATTTTCGCCTACTTCGATAAACTTAACATGACGTGGGTGAATCTCGCTAAGTTTAGTCTGGTGCCGTACCAAAATTACAGGCATCAATGTGACGATTGTGACCGAATTGAGACCAATGGAGATAGGGAGTACGTTTTGCGATTTAGCCCCATTAAGGTTGGTAAAACTGATGTTGATCATAAGTTCTCCTACCTTGAGCCGCACTAGGAATCACGCCATCTAACATTCAATATGTGAACCCCACGTCATCGTTTGAAATTCAATTGTTTATATCAAGAACCGGTCTGACGAAACAAATGAAAAGTGAGCGCACCATGCACAGGTTAATTTCGTCAATGTGCTATCGATTATCCATGGCAATTATGATTTTGTGAAAAAATTCTATGACTAATTATAAAATGTTCGACCTCGAATATTTCATACAAGGCTGAACCGAATATCAAAAGCCTATATATTTCTGAAATCAAAAAATTAGATATTGAATAATTTCGAAAAAATATATCAGCACTGAGAAAAAAATCGAATAGCGGTTATTAAATATTGAATAACCTTCATAAAAAAATTGAATTAAATAGGGGACAGCCTAGCTGTCTTATAAAGGCTATTCAATTCATTTTGCTATGACGACCCAATAACAGTTACTAGATAATTTGATGAAGCATGACATGAAGGCTACACCGTGAACGAATTACGGTCATTTATCAATGTGTATTACTATAATTAAAGAGTATAATCGCTGTTATTATCCAGAACCTATAACAGGCATTAAACCTCTGTATCGAAATAATCAATGACTCTAGTTATTTCAAGTTGATAATCGAATATTTTTTCCAAATAATTTTCCAGAATAGAAAAAATCTATTTAGCACTTTTCATTTTTGGAGCTCTGTCAGTGAGAATTACATCCACATAAAAATCTTTCGAAATACTCTTGGAAACGAAGTAGAGAAAATAATATGTTGAGAATACACTATTTTTCACCTATTAAAGAACTTTCAATGTCTGAAAAATTTCACTTTTTCAATATATTCATTTCCGATTATTTTTTTCCTCATTATGAACTTTCCACTGAATATAAGCTTCGGAAATTGAATGTGCCAAATAGATTTTTTCTATTCCTGACAATGATTTGGTAAAAAAATATTCGATTATCAACTTGAATCAACTAGAGTAATTAATCATTCCAATACAGAGGTTTTATGCCAAAAAAAGATCTTTTTTTCTATTCATTTTATGTAATCATTTGATGAAGAATTATTCGATTATCGATCTCACCTATACCTAGCGTATAGGCAAAGATAAATTGGTGCAACAAAAATATAAACGCTGTCATGAAGTTGGAGAAGAACTGTCCTGAACTAAACTCTGTAGATGGTATAGGAGATGAGAACATTCATGCAACTTTAGGAAAAACAAGTTTAATGATGATCAACAAAAATTTAATATGCCTTACGTTAAGATAAGTGGTTGAAAATTAAATAACTCCAACATTTCAAATCAAAATATCACTCCTAAATGTCTCGGCCAATCCCAGTTTTTGCACACTTCTAACCATCAGTTTTTCAAAACCTCACTAGATCACAACTCAGAATCATAACAATCAACCGTATTTAACAAAAAGGAAATGCACGAAGCACGAGTTTAATGACCGACTAGGCCGACCTAAGTCTGATAACTGACGAGGGGGTGTGTCAATGTGTCGGAAAAATTTTTGTTCGAATGTACTCGAGGACATTCGTCAACGATCGTCATTAAATTTTCCTATGATGCTAATTCGATAACAAGTAATGGTAATATGATTAAAATTCACTCGTCTGCGTTAATTATCGTAGGTTTACACATTAATTGTCATTACAAGAAGTCCAATGAAGTTAATCGAAGTACTCCCAATAAAACGTCTCTAGTTATGGCAATTAGTCCTTGGTGCTATTTTTATACGTAACATGAGTGAATATGATTAGAAATTGAATTACAGTCATTAACTCAGACATAACAAGAAAATTTAATGAGTGCTTTTTCCTCAGTGAGCGATATCCGTTTGGTTCACCTCGTACAATTTTCTGGAGGTTTTGTACAATCCCTACAACTTTTGTATTCGAAGTTTTTTTTTTCTGATTAATGCCTTCAATGATAAACCTTGTAGAAGCTGTTTGAATATACGGGATGACCCTGTACATCATCGACTCGCCACACAAAAATAAAGTTGTAGAAATTCAACACGATTCCAAATATTCAAACCAAATTACAACAAACAAATTCAATTCAATTATCTACATTTCTCTTTCAACTTTAGTGATTGTTTCTCAGATTGTGTGGAATGAAATGTTTATAATTCCTCTGGTGTGTCCACTCTTGTATTGTTTTGTCAGACTGACTCTCGATATGCACAATTGAATGCGAGTTCGGAACGTGGGGTTCGTATTCGATTATAGATGGCGTGAACGATGGAGAATTTCTAGGAAAATTTCGAAATGCGTCTCGAATCTTATTATGAAGTTGAACTAGACTGTCAGGCATGTGTTTTTCTTCTTTTGGGACCTGGAGAATCTCGTTGATGATGCACGAATTCAAAATAATAGCTGAATGCATCGAAAGACAGAACACAAACGAGACAGGGCGCAACAAATAATCCATGCAGAAAAATCTTGATATTGACTCGACATATCTGTCACTAGTGTCAGGTTTCATGTTTCCGGAATATTCATGATTCATTTGTTCAAATTCCATATAGAAATATTATAAATCATTAGGAATGATAATTCATTAGTAGTTCATTGAGCAGATATTGATATTATATTAGTTGTGAATTGACTCGGCCGATACTTGATGGAAATTCATGATAAATGTAAAAACTTCACTGTGAGTTCATTGTACCAGTATATCACCTGACGAAGCTACTGTGTTAGCGAAACATGTCGTGTGTTTAAAAAAAAATTTGTGGAATCTTATCGTTTGTGAAGTTTTTACATTTATATAAGTTGAGTGAGAGTATTGTACTTTCATCATGTAGGTACTTGTAGTGGATGTTTATAATATATTGTTTAATTATTATATCATTGAAATCAGGTACCATTTCGAAACAGTCCAACACAGCTTTTCTGAAAGTGTTACGATAGTTAGATTATTCATCAATTTATTGTTCATAGTAATAGGTAGGTTATCAATTAGGTATTGTAGTTTACAGAGAACATTCCAGTTTGAACTCTGAAAGAACTAATAACTATTCTATAAACCAGTAAAAAGTGAACTATCTTCTGTTGTTCTTCCCTGCACTCCTGAACATGTTTTGATAACTCGAAATACGATCTAATTGGAGACAGGACATTACATACTGACTTTGCTGAAATGTGTGGGGTCCATTCGAATATCCGAAGAATCGTTTAATTTTATGTCCCAAAAGTTAGTGAATAAACTATAATCACAGGATTTTCTTGAGTTAGGACTTTTTGTCGTTCATGAATTCACCATTGAAAGTCACTACCATTTACACAATGTGAACTCAAATGAATATCTCATGATGCCTGTGAATTTGGTTTGAAACTTAGGAAATTAAGCAAGATTCTCCCACGCCTCGCTATTTTCACAAAGTAGGCGATATTTTGAGATTTTGAAACTCATTTCAAGGAAGGAAGTGATAACACCATTTGACTTTCTATACAGGGTGTCCCTAGACCAGTGGGACAGTTGAATATCTCCTGAACCAATAGGAATTTTCAAAATATTATGATTTCACATCATATCGCATCATGATTGCTAACTTCAGGAATGACTATATTTTATACGAGGTGCGCAAGAAAGGCTCACAAAATCGAACATCAATTTTTTCAAATGGAACACCCTGTATTTCATTGCATTTTTATATTCTCCTTGAAGAGCTGAATTCACCAATCTAGAACACTTAGGGTCTAGCGGGAATTATTTCCGAGATATAGGGTGTGGAAAATCGAGATTTTTCATTTTTGGGAATTTTTTGTGTCGAAACTATTTATTATTGGTCAAAACGGCTTACATGTCCATATCTTAACTTCTGATTTACTATTTACTCGTATTTAATTGAAACAAATACAGGGTGGTGTAGAATTCTGACTGAAACTGAAAAATCGCGATTTTCCACACCCTATATCTCGGAAATCATTCTTGCTAGACCCCAAGTGTGCTAGATCGTTGAACTCAGCTCTCCAAGGAGAATATGAAAATGCAATGGAATACAGGGTGTTCCATTTGAAAAAATTGATGTTCGATTTTGTGAGCCTTTCTTGCGCCCCTCGTATAAAATATAGTCATTCCTGAAGTTAGCACTTATAATGCAATATGATGTGGAATTATAGTATTTTGAAAATTCCTATTGGTTCAGAAGATATTTAACTGTCCCACTGGTCTAGGGACACCCTGTATATCTATGTGTGGAATATAAGTACAATAATTTGATATAATGAGTATTTATATTTTTCATTTCATTCTCAGGGGACGAAGGAAGGTGCTCATAGTAGCATTCACCTGGCCGTTGCAAAAGAAGTAGAGGGAATATCGGGGAAATATTTCGGACAATGTTCTCCCAAAAGAAAGCCCAAACTCACCACCAATAAATCCTTCTGTGAACGCATCTGGAAGCTATCAGAAAATGTAGTTGATCTGAAGGTTGACGAAAGACTGTGATGTCATCGATTAAAAAGTAGGATATAGTTGAAATATACAATTCTCTTGTATGCCTGAAATCATTATTTGTATTTTCTTCATGGAATACACTTCGTCATGCTAGTGACTATTAATACTCCATTACTCCACTGTGTAGTCAGGGATCTGAATTTTTCACACACTTGTTACGTGTTTTTGATATACAATAATGTGTCTATGCGTTGTTCGAAATTGTTGAATTTGAGGCGTCACTTCTTATGCTGTTTCCTCATTGGTTAGATAATCTTCCATTACCACTCTTAGAGCAAGGTCACCAATAACAGAATTATTATACAAGGTGATTCTAAAATAGGTGGTCAAACTTTGAGAGCATATAGAGTGGGTGAAATATAGTTACGAAAACCTCCGTAACGATTTTTTTCTGAAGTGACTCCCAAGAAAGATATACAGCCCCTTAAAGTGGGACCTCGGAGAATGATTTTGTATTATCTTAACACCTTGTATAATGAAAATCTGAAATTTTGTCCTTCCACTCACTATTCAGTGCCGGTTAGAATGGAGTTAAAATCACCTCAAAATTAAATACAGGGGTGTGTCAAAATAGGGAGGTAGGGAATAAAAATAACCCCAACTTTTTTGTTCATCGCAATTTCAGTTTGTTGACATGAAATTATGAAATCTCAGGGCTATTCACACAGAAAAGGTGCTCCTGTTGCATCTCGATAAAATGAACTATTAGCGAATACATATTATTTTTTCAAGATTTCATTTAAATTGCGATTTTGGTATGTACTTAAGTTTAATTATCTAGGTAAAGAAAAGTGAAAGGTCACCGACTTTTCTACGGTTCTACGGTTCTTAAAGGGTCGATTAGTGAGTGTGGCATCACCCACCAGGCGAATGGCTTTTCTTTGGATGGAATCTAAGAGCATCAGCGTATTTTTGGATGCTGAACTCCATATGTGAGAATAGTAACCTAAAAACTTGCCGTATCTGTGCTTCGTTGATAATGAAAAGTTGTTGAGGTGTTGAGTAGATTTTCGCACGGAATAAAAATCAGAGCTTTCGTGAGTCAGCTTTTACGATGGATACCGAACATCAATATAGTAGTAGGAATGAACGTACCAACTAGATTGTTGGTTGGTAGCATTGCTTCCTGTTCAGTTGATATATAGATATAGAACATGGTAGTCACTACTGAAATCTGAAGATGAAAATGGTAAATTCAAGATTAATTGATGAAAACATCCTGTAACTCATTTGATTGCCAACGTCATCAACTGTCAATGAGAACTGAAAAGTGTCAAGACAAATATGAATTTGCTATTCAAATATCAATTTTTTATGTTGAAAACGAAAGCAGATTCGTTCTCGAAACGTCCGAAGCTAAGTGAAAATTTGATATTTTTTCTATACCGGGTGTCAACGAATCTATTAGACAAGTCATAACTTCTAGACCATTAGGTGTATCAAAATGAAATTCGGTAAAGGTAAATGGTATGTGAAGAGGAGAGTTTTCACATATTTTTCACTTCCCGGTCACTTCCAGTTTCACCGAAAATGGCTGCGGTTCTAAATTTTCAAATGGAACACCCTGCATAATGTAACATTTTTGGATTTCTGAGACAATTCTAGATCAGAATGTGACATTTTCGAGAGTTTTTATGCCTACTCTAGATTTCCTCTTCTCTAAATTACATTTTCGGAATAATTGTTGATGAAGCAGGGATAACATTCTTTTGAATTTGTTATAACTCTCATCTCCAACACCGTCTTCCTCTATGACTATATCGCTGTAATCGATGCAACATGTTCCTATAATTGTTCATAACGTTTCAGAGTCAATTTTTACACATAACAAATTATTTATTGCACAAATTGCAATGAAAGACTCGACAGCAGATTCTTCACCTTTATTGCAACATACAATCAAGCAAACTTTATATCAAATCCTGTTTTTTCTGAACTAGAGTGCCTCATTGTTTCATCGGTTGGCCTCTAATCTATGGTAGGATGGCATGACGATCATCACTGGCTCGTCTTCTCTTGCATTTGTTTCCTTGTTGGTGAAAAAGGGCACTGCGTTATCTAAAGATGGAGAAGAATTTAGATATATATCTTCAGAAGTTATCAATGGTATCGTATCGAATGTTATATGAAGACCACAGGGAAAAAAGGAGAAATGCCGTGGAAATTGACTTGACACCACTAGAGTCATTGGATGGTATCATTTTGATGAGAGTTCGGACACGAAAATGACAACGGTTAGGGCTTTTGAATGTTCAGATTTATTCAGTTACACACCTTGCATTGTGACAACAGCATCAAAGTCGTTCCGCGCTTTTTCATTCAATGACAATGACAATGAATTTTATAAACGACAGAATTGAAATAAAATTTTATAATTATACTTTCGATAAAGAAGTAGCTATTAGTGTAGTAAATTCGAGACCCTATCGTGTCGTTTTTTTTTCTGACGTAGAACCAGGTCAGACATGGTAGGTTTTGTTGACCATATCACTAGGTATATGAAATCGTATTTTACGACATTTTTTTGTGGTCTGGATCTTTTTAAATGAGAAAAAACTGAAAAAAATGCACTTTTAATGAAATGTTTTTTTTTTGTTTCTACCGTCATATCTTTGGAATCAATAGAGATATCGGAGTGTTTTTTTTTCTACATTGAACTAAACACAATAGCGCTTCTAACAGTACCGATGGATTTTGCAAAATATGCTTCTTTCATTTTTCAAAAATCAAGAGAGCATGGAATTCAAAATTTATGCATTACAATTTTCACCAATCGGGAAACTTTTTTATCTTTGAAAATTTTTGTATACATATAGCGGAACAAATGAAGCTTATATATAATAAAAGTTTTTGAGCTAATTAGTTCTCCCCCATTTTGTATAGTTTGGCAATAGTGATTTTTTTCATTACTCGCTCAATATCGGCACGCGCCACCAGAATTTGATGTAAACGGCATTCAGCGTAACATCTACATGCGTCGAGTTTTAAAATTCACGATATTTATAAGAAATTCTCTGAGACAATGGGAGTGTATTATTTGTGGAAAAAGTGTGTTCGATGATGACTAATCTGTGGTACAAAGACCTAGAATACAAGGATTGTTGTCCTAATGCTAGTGCTGAGAGCAGAAAAGCCAAAAAAGAAATTCTGTCGCAAAAAAAAGTATTTTGAATAGTGACCTAAAAATAAAGTACCATTTAGACTGCCGAAAATCGTACACAAGCTTTCAAAATATTGATAGTATTTTGCAAAATGACAGTGAGGCCGGACCCTCAAATTGTTCTGGAACTCGGTTTAAATCACAAACATTTGATATCAGAAAAATGTGCCTCATCTGCAGTAGTACTAGAGCAAAAAAGAAGAAAAGTTTGATATCTGAAAAATGTGCATGGTTCCTACTTTGAAAATAAGTATTTTTTTAGCATTTTACTACTTAATGAATACATATTCTTTTCAGGCAGTGGAAGCGCTACTCTTAATAATATAATGTAATGTAATGACATAAATATGATATCCAAATTAAGTGGCTATGATGATTTATTTGCATTTGATGCGAAATATCATGAATCATGTTATAGCCATTATATATCTAAGAGGAACATAAATTCACACAAAATAAAAAAGCGATTTCCACTTCATCTGCAATATCAAAAGAAGACAGCTAACTCCTCAACAAGTGGTAATGATTTTCAGGAGAATATTTTCCTTCCCAAAGAAATGTCTGAAATTCAAATTGCTGCCATCATACGTGATGCAATGGATTCATTCAAATCAAAGAGTGGCTTTCCAACACCAGATAATATAAATAGAGATGAGTTTCAGAATGAGGTTCCAAATATTTTACACCTATTTGTGTCATGGCTTATAGATGCAAAGTTATTTGCAGAGGTAAATATTGCAGTTGAAGATTCTTTAATTCAAGTAGTTTGTTGCTTATATTTTTACAGGCTCAATATGGAGAAAAATGGCGAATTAGCAGTGATTCCAAGAAATATCATACTGGGGCTTTTCGACAAGTCTCATAGGAAAAGTTCTTTTCATGTCGGTTTGGGTTTACATTTGTATCACCACGTTCCAAGCAAACACATTTTGGACACACTATCCTCACTTGGACTTACTTGTTCCTATAACGAAGTCCGTCACATAACAACTTCGTTAGCGAAACAAGAAATCGTCGACAGAGAAAATATTTATGTACCCAAATGTATAGGACATGTTTTAGATGAGAAAAATAATGACATTTGGGCAAGTATTGATAATTTTGATTCGAACGAAAAAACTATTGATGGAAAACGAACAACACATGCTATGGCTATGATTGTATTTCAAGAAAAACACTCTTTGCAACCAATAGGAGACCGACCATAACGTACGTACGGATCTGCTATAACCTATGTAGTCGACAGACATAAACTGCGTATGAAGAACGCAACGCAATTTTAGCCCGTTTTGAAAAAATCGCTGACTGTATACATACATACATATATGAAAAATTATCATTCCAAAAACTTGTTTCATACTTCCTCTCCATTTTGTTCGCATAGTGTATACACAAATTTCCAATAATAAACTTTTTTCTCGATTGCTATAAATTACATCTACAAAAATATCGATGTCAAGTTTGTTATCATTTCAACAGATCGAATAAAAATATATCAAGATCACAAAGTAGGTGGTTAGAACCGCTTTTGAGTCTTCTTCAATTTAAAAAAAAAATCAGCCTGAAACCACAATTACTTTGAGAGTTATAACGGTGGAGACGTAAAAAAACATGTTTTACATATTAATCAATTTTTTCGAGTTTTTCGAAATTAAAAAGTTCACGACCACTAAAAAATGTCGTAAAAAGTGATTCCGTGTACACGACCACCTAATTGAAGAAATGGACCAAGTTTAACCTGGTTCTACGCCAGTTTTTTTTATCTCAGAAACTAAGCGACTTTGCTCTCGAAATTCGCTCGTCTATATGGAAATCACTTGCTGTGTAATAAATTGCGCCAATTCTGAAAAAACTGGAGATGAAAAATCAATTTGAAGACGAGCGAAATTTGTGAGGTAGGTAATCATTAAAATTCATTTATGATTAC